TGCTGAAGAGCTCATTGAAGCTGCTTGTGTGCACATGTAATGTCCACAAAGATTCATTTAAAGCAGTTATCCACAGCCTGGGCAAATCTAAAAATGGTCAAAACTCCTACCTGCATCTCTTCTGGAGGCTGCCAACCTGCTTGTGAAATCAGGCAGCTTTCCTTGCCACGCCTCCCGCTCCTCCGACAAAACTCCCAGCTACCTTGTTGTAACTTGATTGTATTTATCCAAGCAGTCAAACTAAGGGTAAAGCACTTCCTTACATTCTACAGATTATTTTTTCTTCAAGCCAGGAATCAAGCATACATGGTTAAAAAGTTGGTGCTTTTATGCACATTCTGCCAGGAAAGGCACAGGGACCATGCATGCCTGAAGCTCTGCAATCAAAGCACGTTACATTTTTCCAGCCAAGCAGACCACATTCACCACTGGTTTTCTCAACAGCTTGTTGGTCCAGCAGCAAGTAGGGGTTTTTTTTAAATAGCAGCCTGAGTTGTAGCAACAGCCCTCCTATGAAGACTCCTCACTCCTATTCTACAAGTGTATACATGGTAATGCAAGATGCATGGAAGACCAACGATCATGAAAATAATGGCATCTTGTCATTGCCACACATTGTAGTCACCCAAGTCACCACTCAGCTCCTTCCACAAAGTGGTTTAAGGACACTACTTGTCACCAAGCCCCTGCACAATCAAAGGAAGGGCTTTGTCCCATCTTGTAGACAAGGAAGCTAGACTACAGTTGAACAGGTTGAACTCAAGTCTCAATACTGTGTTGACAACTCTGCTCAGCTGTATGTAAGCAAAGGATATTTTAGTGGAGGCTTTCTTATTCAAGATGAATTTGTTGTAAATCACTTAAAATGTTTTGTGTTGGATTTTTCTTTTTTCTGTTTTACTTTTGGGGGGGATTTTTTGGTGTTTTTTTTCTTTGTTTGGTGGGGTTTTTTTAGGTATTGCAGTGGGTAAAACCATACACACAGAACTAGCCAGGTCTGGCAGTGCTGTCAGAAGACCCAATGACAAGCAATAAGTACAACAATCATCAGATTCCTGTAGGGAAACACAGAGCCATACCCACGTGTGCCCATCTGATCTCTGCGGATGCTGGTTGCTGGAGAAACCTGCTGTCTTGGCCAGCAGGATGCTCCCACTGAAGCCCAACAGCAGGAAGGTGCCAGCCCTTGGAGACCCTCCACCTCCATCCAGCTCCCCATCATCTTCCCATCTTCAGCCAGTCTCCCTTTGCCCCAGGTCTCCAGGGGACAGCAGGGTGCAGAGCTCTGCACTCCCTCGGCTGGTTGCTTCTTCCCCCACCCCACCAGCCACTCACTCCCGAGTGCCCCAGAGATGAGCCTGTCCCAGGCCCCTTCTGCTGGCAAACCAGCCACCGCTGCTGCTCCAGTAGGGATTTGGCTTTGTACTCTGTGCTTGTCATCTTTGGCTGTCTGAGCCAGGGGTCTCTAATTACAGGACATGGTGGGTTCAATGATTTCTAAGTTATTTGTGCACAGCAATTCCCACAACTCTTCCAAACTGGGTATTTTAGGCCAGTGCAGAAACACACACACTTTTTGGTCAAGTTACCAGGCCTGGGACAACTTACTGCATCTCTGAAACAGTGGGGACACACAGTGCTCTGTGAGGAAGGTGCTGCATTCACATCAGTCCCAGCAGCTCGTGCAGCAGTGGCACGAGCACAGTAGCACTGAAGCCAACTGAGGAGTACGTTATGAATTTATAGGGCACTTCAACTTCCAACCGTCTTTGGGCTTCCAGGTCTCCGGTGGGAAACTTGAACCAATACCCCAGCAGGCCAAGGGCCACACTCTTCATGAGCCAGCGAGTCAGCAGAATGATGAGGATCCCTACACAGAACCTGGCTAGCATGACCAGCATCACTTTACTAGTGATCAGGGAAAATCCAAGCTGAAAATGTGCACTGGTGTGGGCTGGTGCTGCACACTGGTTACTTAACCAACATCCCACAGTTGCTCCACCTCCCGCTCCTAAGATTATAGTGGTGTCTCCCCTGGTAGGCCTGTAATAGTCTAGTTTGGGGTAGTTGTAACACAAGACAAGAGGCACAACTAAGGACAGCAGTGGAGAGAAGGGACTGGTAAACAGCAAGTGATCTATTGTGTCCCACGCGGGATCCAAGAGCAGGAGCAGCAGGGCCGAGATCAGCGCTCCACCGATCACATCCTGCAGAGAGATCACATTGAAAGGCTTGGTGAGACCTGGAAGGCAAACCAGAAATTCTCAGATTATAAAATACCTATAACCACATCCGTGAGTGTGCAGCAGCAGAGGAAGGCCCTGAATCTATGTGAATATATCCATTGATTCGCACTTTCCTCGTAACAAGTGAATCTCACCTTTCCCTCACCTGCTTTCACGTCTCCAAAGGCACACGCACAGCTCCATCCCAGGGTTGGTATCACAGGAAGCTGCCTCCACACAGTGCTCCTCTCCCATGAGACAAAGTCATTTCATCACATGAGTAAGATTATGGCTTCCTTGCTTTGCATAGATGGAAAGATGGCCTTTTGTCAGAGAGCAGCACCCTGTGCAGGAAGGCAGGCTCCAGGGGGAAGGTGCAGAGCTGCGGGATGTGGTGTGTGTGCCAGGATCCCAGCCAGCAGCCAGAGGTAGGCACTGCCAGCA